AAGTGGACCGCCACAGACGGTATATTCAGCTGAATTCAGTTGAGTCTCCTGACAAAACCAAATTTCTGTCGAAGTTGGAGATCTTTTTCCAGACTTCTAGCAGGGATCCATTACGGTGAACCCACTGTAACAAGCAGGACATTAGACAAAGTAGAGCTTGCAGATCACTGTTGATGCTCAAAAAAATTTGACAGGATATTCTGGTAGAAGACTTGGAATCGTAGACGCTCATCACCATGTGCCACGCAAAGAGGCGAATCGGAAGCAGGTCCGAGAAAGGTAGCCTCGTTTACTTTCACATAGATACTATCGTAAGAGGCGTCATTTTTGAGAAGTTCAAATGAAACACGAAACAAGGCACAAGCAGATGAACAAGGCAATCGAAACACAGTAGTAAAGATGAGTTGTAAGGATGGTAAAAAAGCTCACTCAAGTAAATTATGGGATGAAATATGGTTACGGTGTTTTTTATTCTTAAGCTGTAAAATTCGTAGTATTGTGCTGGGTTCCCGCCCCTCGGCAAAACGCTGCGTCTGTTAGTTATCGTGAATGAGAACACCTGCTGAAAAGCTCAAATTACGTGGTTTGATTCGTTCAGGGTGGATGCTCTCTGCGCGTGGTGTAAGTATCAGCGGTTCATCATCCAAAGTTGTCTCCTAGTTCCCCTATCCGGGCGTACACTTGTGGTGAGACAGCTTAGAGATCTCATCAGTTACTTTATCTGCCAATTCGAGTGTGTTATTATTCCGGTTTCACAACGGTACACGTATACCGTTTCACAACGGTAGCCAGTTCTTAGTAATGCATCGTTGATTAAAAGACGTTCTGGTTCATCTCATCCTCTATAGGTGCTTATCAATTTGTCCCTTCTAAGGATAGCCTTAGATTCCGATCTCCGCTCCTCGTCAGTGTTACATTTATCAGTCATTATTCCCACAATCGGCGGTGATTGTCACCCAAGTTCTACGGAGTCCTGTCAACAAATTACTCCATCTCACCAATTTGTACGTCTCAGGTTATGCCCTTCAAAGTAGTGATCTGCTTGGTCGCGTGACAGAATGACTGGTTTAGGCAAACACGCAGATACCTGTGCTTATCAGGCCTAATGGACCAATGAAACACCACTCCTTACTCAGTATTCGAAAGGGTGATGCCATACATCCTGCGTAATCGAAGTTTTACTACGGTATATGATCACACAGATCACTTGATAAAAGTCTCCGGATTTAATGACTTGGCACCTACACTTCTGATCACTCCATAGTTATAAGCATGTAAGTCACCAAACTCCAAGAACAATGGCACAAACCAATGACCAGAGTTGCTTCCAGGTACATGTAATTGCCATTAGGCTTGGGTAGTCGCAGTGAGGCTAATTGGTATTTGTCACCGTGCGATATATGAACGAAACACTACAGAATAAGCAAATGGATTTCGTCGGTTGCAAGTAAATCAGCGTACCTCAAAGGAAGGGTATCTCAAAAAGGCCGTGGTAACCGAACGAACACCATTTCGGTCGTTCTGCCGCTCGAGTGAAATAGGATACGGTCTCATACTGCAGCTAAACAGATGGGCGGTGTCAAGAGCAGTCGAACGCTAGGGATGAAACGCGAACCGATGTCCCAGTGAGTTGCAACATCCGGCGGTAAGTGCTCATCACAAACAGCACGGCAGCGATTGCGACGTTAACTCGAAGTCCACCCATGTTTGAGCCGGTTTGTCGCTCACCTTTTCAATTAGTCCTAATAAACCAGAAATTCGGTCTTCTCATACGGCATAATAGGCTTAAGTGTGGGTTGTGGATTCATATAGTCACCGCTTGATTTCACTGGCCAAGCTCACTGATGAACAAGGTGCTTAGGACCACATCTAAGCAAATTTATTATTCTGGGTTTTCCTATCCAAAAGCCTGATGTACCAGTAAAAATAGAGATCTTTGGAATGCGCCTCCCGACAGCTACTGTTGATCTATTTACCCAGGCCACTTTTCCTTTGAGTTGTTTTTAAAATGCTGGTCACTCACCAAGAGACAGTTTGAAAGGAGATCTGATAGTATTTGCGAAATTTACCATCCTGTAAGAACACGGTGTGAGTCACTCGACGATTTATTTGACAATAACTCCAGATTACGCACGACCGAACAGAGCCACCCATGTGCCTGCGTTGCTGTAAAAGGACGGGATCTAGGACAGCCAATTGTCCCAATAAAGCTCAGTTTGAGACATTTACTTGTGAATGTACCAGGCTGTCAAACCGCCGTCCGAATCGCACGCTGGTGTTTTTCATATCTTGCGTTGCTCCAATGGAATAAGGACAGGCTATGATAATCTACCTAGCCTCCAAGTTCACGTGCTTTATTCCTCTACCTCCGTGACATTTCGAGAATGTAGTTAGTTTGGCTTGTCGGCTCTCGCACCACTGCGTGAGTGGAGTGGACATGGATTGCAGTTTGTCATAGATTTGGACTCTACTACCATTGCTGCATGCACTAGCCATTGAAAGGCGTGTGATAAACGGCACAAATGGAACTTAAAATTTGGGTCGAAAACTTTTTAAGTGAGGCGCAAAATGTGTTTGTTAAGGATGTACGTAGACCGTTATCCATGACGATTCGCAGGGTGATCTGGGGCTGGCTTCGCACTCTGAATTATCTTTTCACAACTCCTTGCAGGTATGTTGTCGCACAGGTCCACCTTCGTTTTCGGAATGCTGTCCTTGTAGCCCAACAGAATAGATCAAAACTATCCCATAACCTGTTTGTCTATGCGCGCTGTTGCGTATAGCAATGAGTGGGAGAGTTCACGTGGTTTAAGGCAATGTTATCGCTATCACAATAGACTGTACTGTTTCAGAGAGGTTCGGCAAATAGTCGGTGGACGTTTCGTGGCAAACGTTTCGCTTTTGACACGAAAGCTTCGCCAAGTTAGTAATTAATCACGTTGATCGGGTTTTAAGACTATCAGGGAATCAATGCGTGTGATTTCTTGCGACTAGCGAACTTGATCAGTGCTGGGTGCCGGTCTGAAGTTCCTGTTTGTTGGTTAGTGGGGATGACTAATAGTTAGGATAGATTGGCTAGGGAGGATTTTCTTCATGTTGAAACCAGATTTTGAAGCCTTGCTTTTCCGGTCTAGGACACCTTAATGAGATTGTCCACAGATTTTTTTCGTCTGTGTGCATCGACGGGTGCCGGGACCATTGGGTTGGGGTGGTTGGTGCATCTTGCTATGCTAGGATTTTGTACTTTTAGACCCAGACCATTTTCCCGATAACTGCACACCGCTTCGCGTCATCTCGGCTGACCTACAACTGCTCTCCACACGCTTCTCAGTTCTGCACCCTCTATTCTATTCACCCTGGGATGCTTGGCGTTTTCTACCGCCTCGGCCACCAGCCGCTGTGGCGTGAATCTTTGTCCCTGTCTCAGAATGTCCACATTTTCCAAATCTATCATATCCCCAGTATCTATTCCATCCCTAGCCATTGCCGAATCTTCCACCATCGCCTGATATGCATTTACGTTTCTGCGTAGTTTGTTAATACACCACTTGTGCTCACCGATTCTGGTGTACAATCCCCTGGTTGTCTGACCTATATAAGCCGTCGTGCAGTTGTTGCGTTTTATTTTGCATACACAATCATTAGTCCCATCAACCGGAAAGCGATTCTTCAGCTGCATCAGTACTAAGCGTAAAGTCTTGCCCTCCTGGAACGCTACTCTAATACTAGTCGCATTCAACACCCTTCTAGTGACTGAGTCAAAAACACTCAGTACTGATCAAGTCGGTTAGTCTTGAGAAATCTCGCGGATTGGTTCCCTAACTGTCTCAAAACCTGATCACCCTGGTTATTAACTTGACCTGAGGGAACTTTTGTGTCGAAGTCCACCGATTGTCTACCAAACCTCTCTGAAGCGATGACTACCCAATCGGTCTCAAGCATTTTCCTAATGTTTGAGAACTACTGTTGTCGTTCTGGGGTTTTGCGGGATAGATATTTTGTTCATAGTCACACCACTCTCTTTTGAACGGTCGTCCTGCTGATCTGGTGTAATTATTCCGGTGAGTCCACCGATTAGCGTTGATAATTCTGTCGTACCAAGCTATAGAAGAAAGAATAGGGTGTCGCATGTAGCAATAAGGTGGTAAACAGTTGGTATATGATGCACCAAGCCGATCAGACGACCGAGCGGAAGTCAATCCATTTTGTGTGAAACAAACGAAATAACGACTACTGCTGAGATGACAGGATGGTGAATGAAACAACTTGGTGTTTCAAAAATGTAACTAGTCAAATCAACCACATATCCCTTAGAGAAGATGAGTTCTATCGGTCCTGTGAATGCTTCGTAGGAAAACGAATCCCTTTACTCAGATCTTCTGAAACGCCGTATAACGCGTGTCTGACAACAGGGTTTGATCGCACGCTGAGGCTAACTGATGCACCAACCATTTCGACGCCTGACTATATCGTTCGGCGGGCCCATGATCTTTAAACAGTTTATTGTTGACACAATATTTTTCATAAGGTTGAAGAAAACTACCGGACAAGCCGAAACCGGATTCGTCTTTCCTGGGACTCATTAGGGTAGGCGTAGTTTTCGAGTATCTATGGGCTTTACTTCTAACTTGAACAAGAGATGGTGAGCAAATAAATTTACGCACTCGTTTGCAATTAACTTGAAATTAACGAGAGAATCAAATGGACGACAATAGAATGACTAGTTTACTTTGTATAGATCGATACCAAGCTAGTATGACAGTTTACCAGTTCACTTTAGGCTGCTCACGACTATCAAGGGCTGTCGACGGATTTTCAGCAACCTTATGAGTAGTACGTTACAAATATATACGACCATCAGGGAGATTTTCGATGGGGTTTGACATGCTTCCGTCTTAGTTGTGCGGAGAATCACTCCGAAACCATGAGTGATCAGAAGCACATGCTGAGGAGCTAATATTCTAACAAGATTTTCTAGGAAGAGCCCTTAATTTGCAGTGGCCAGTTTTATTCGCGTGATTACGCAATCTGCCGCAACACAAAACAAAAACAGTCCAACATTTCAATAAAACACGCAGATGATGTCTTGCTTAATATACAGAAGCGTAACGCAATGACCAATTGGTTGGACAGTGCAGGAAAGCATTCCACATTCAGGAAATCATACTCAACACGGACCAAAGCATAAACGGCAGGAGATCACGGAGGCAAAATACCGAAAATGGAGTGGTCATCGTAGTGGTAGGTAAAAACATAACAACTGGTGATGAGTTGCCCCTTTGGCGCAATGGTTTAAATACAAATCGATTACGAATGGTGAAAAATACATGATAATGAGGAGTGGAAGAAAAAAGAGTTTGGTTTCAGTTCAGGATAAACAGTGAAGAATCTCGGACAACTTTACACGAACCCTAAGAGTTCACGAGCAATCGAGCACATCATGCCTACTGCGCATGATTTACTCCAGTCTTGAGCCATATTAAATGCACATTCGGGGGAATAAAAGGAACACGGCTTTCTATGTTGCAAATTATCTCCCAAGTGGGAGTGTCTTGATAAAAACGCGGCTTTTCAAGCTACTTCTTGATCAAAGTGAACGTCCGGGTTGGCCAGAACCAAAAGCAGCTGCGGAGGTTGAAGATTGCCCGACTCGTGCTTGTTTTGAAAGTGAGTCCATGATATAGGATAAGACGGTATTCTCCAATTGGATTGGGTCAGCCGCAAGGCTAGGTCGATTCTTGAGCACATACGAACGGTATTTGTCGAAAAGTTCCATGTAGGGCATACCACCTATGAATAGAAATTCAGATAAGACGAAGTGTGTGGTAACAGACAATGTTCAATGCATTTGTTCCAGGAACTAGCGTAATCGTTCAGTGCGCAACAAATCACGTAGGGACTTCAGACGAAACAGGACGGTACACAGAGCAGAGACGGCGCAAGAAAAAGACGCTCTAACAGGAACCCAATTTCCTCCGTTGAATGACACTATACCCGAAAAAAAAGAACTGTACCTGGAAGTAGCTAGCAAGATCCGAAAGAGGACTGACTGTCTTTCGTAATGTCCAAAACACAACGTACTTATCAGCGACATTTACTGCAAACGGGGTCAAGTCTCCACCTGTCACTGGATGCTGTAATACCACCAGATTTATCCTGCCACGCCATTTTCGCAGCACTTACTGCGCAACGAACTACCTAGAAAGTGGTCGTATCCATTGTCATGTAACACAAAATTTTAGAGGACATTAGAATATGGAACCGGCTTATATTATCGTTTGTCGCCTTTAGTTCCACGAGACCTATAAAAGTTTTCTTAAATTTCCTGAGAAAGACTCAAGCCTAAAATCTCCGGTATAGACAATTACTTCCAGGAGAAGACCGAAAGGACGGACTATACTGTTCCGGCGAATACACAATCCGCACAGCTGGTCATTTTCTAACCAGATTATTAGGTATCGAAAATTAGTCGGCGACCGTGTAATACTGCGATCAGTAGCTTACGACCGTTAGTCTTACTCATCTGAAATCACCGAATGGGTTCAAATAAAGGCGTTAATCAAGTTATGGATAAACGCACTGAAGGCTCATCGGTTAATACGGCAGAATATGCGTACACTGCCATAAAAATAGTGATACACTGCCTAAGGGGACTCGATGGGCGTATGTTTCCATGATGGGTAGCCAGAGTACACTGGTGCAATTGCAATGGGAGGTACTTAGGTAGAGGTTCACAAGTGGCGGAAGACGAGACTACCTTTACAACGTATAGATAGCACACCCGATTCATTTGCCCGGGGGACTATCAACATGTGCAAACGCATCTATTCTGCTTCTGAGTTACAACAGCAGTTTTGACAATGTTTCCGAATTAACCAAACGACCATGTGAAACAATGGCGACGAAAGCTACCCTTAGAAGGAGAATGGACTCTCCTGGGAGTTAAATCCAATAAACTCAATTTTAGGTCTGAAAGATGCCACAAGAAACAGTCACTTACTATTTGGAATCCTTGTCACTGTAGGCGGAGGAATTGGCGGTGGCTCCACAGGATGCCTCGGGATGGGTGGTGGGTATGCGGTAGGACTGACATTTCGCATGAAGTTACTAGATCCATATTGATAATAGGGATTCATAGATGGCGGGAAAGCTCTCGGCTCCAGTGGAGGTAGCTGTTGCGCTGGTGGCTGATACGTTGTCCTAAAGTACTGAAGATGCTGCTGATTTTGGGCCATGATCTCCTGCTGCTGTAGCAAACGCTGATGCTGAGCCAAAGACATACCTAGGGCTTTTTCTTCTTCATACTCGCGCCATGCTTCCTGTCTTTCGGTTTCTGTTAGCCCCTCGTCTTCTCTATGTGCCAAAAGTGAGTCATGCTCGTGATAATTGACGATGAGATGAGGAAATTCAGATAACATATCGGCCAATAGACGGTCTTTTGGCAGTTTAGGTGTAGGCCGCTTATCCGCTTCACTGGCAACCCAAATATCTGGGTCAAAAGTATATAAGGCGAGGAGATCTGCCATTGTAAAGTGTCGATCAATCTGTTGTTCATCGACGACACGAAGCGATAAGGATTGCTTGGTGACCTATAGAAGGATACGGGAAGTCATGATGTACTGAGTACACGCTCCATAATGGAACATTCGGAATGAAAATGTGAAAGGCACTCGGAAATGAAAAGTATGGGCACCCATAATGCTCTTGTGGGTCGCTTGCTTTTAAAACAAATCGGTTTTTTAAGGATCAAAGTAAAGGCATGAGAACATGACATGTGTTCAAAATTGGTGATTCGCTGCCGTAATAGTTGTACGTGGGCCGGGATACTGCCATGGCGCCAAAGTCTAAACAGGAGGACGATTAGGATCCTCGGTCTGGCACAAAAGCCAAACCGCGACGAAGCGATGTTTGGTGGGAAATACAAGTGTATTTCGATTTTTAGAGAACAAGTTGTCATACATATTCCAACCCCAAACCTGGATGACCGGGGGCTGTGTTCGTCAGACCTCTAACAATCTGATATGAGAGACTGTGAGTGTAGCGCGCGGACACTCCCCAATGGGTCGCAGAGGTACACTAACCGTCACACCACGGTTAGGTGCGGTTTCTTCGCCCGATTCTCATAGCGGTTTAACTAAAAATAAGATCAGGTTGAATACTGGATGCTAGCAGAAAAAGCCTCGCTGCGTTAGGTACAGAAAGCAAACGGAGGCTGGATGGGAACATCTCAAAGATTCACAAAGATGGCTACTGACAATGCAATGTCGGTATTAACACCAAGTGATAGCTATACTTCAGAAAAATCTCAGGAATGCATATGGATGGCAAGGTTGGCCTGCTGGGACCCTTTCATAATAATAAGAAAAAAATTTATGATTCTACGGGCACCAAGCCCAATTCATAAGTTCGATCGTATCGAAAAGAAGCGACCCGGTTATCCGTGACACCTTTTCAGCGAACAGTTGTCATGCAACCCAGATGGGCGTACGGACACAGAAAGATTCCTAGGTTTTCCTGCATACGATGACAGCAACTAGCAAGTCAGGAGTGGGTTCGAATTACAGACAATTTGGTCTGTGGCTTATATTCATCTCAGCGAAACATGAACCTCAGGAAACATGCGATATAATCTGTTGCATGGCCTGGACTATAGCACACCAGCATAGAACAAGGTCCACTCAATTTTAGATCCCAAATCTTCATTGTTGTAGGAAACCGCTTTAATAATTATTTTCACGCCCACCTACCATGCTCATTAATTTAATGTGTAACCTACATTCTGATTGCTTGAGTCTACGAGCTTTTAGCCAGGAAAAATTACAGGCGACTACTGTTATCTTATCCGAGGATAAAACAGTTGTCTTAAACCGATATAACATGGAATAATGAGGCTGACCGTCGTTTTTGTAAACTGGTGAAAACTCAAAATCCGCTCTTGATGAAAATCAAATGAGTGAAATAACCGACCAGTAGAGCATCAGAAAGAACTCCACAGTCAGCACTAGTACACACAAAGCAAAGGGACCAAAAGGTAACCGGTGAGTATTCGAAAACGGAGATCTGCAGATTGCGAGACATGGAGACGAGAAACAACACGATAAGCCAACCTAGAAATAGAATGCAGCAGCGCTTACTTGGCGATCGTAGATCTTCTCCTCCATAGTGCCTTGAGCGATCAGGCGATAAATGTAGACGGGCTTCGTCTGTCCGAAACGATAGCAGCGAAAGATGGACTGTATGTCATGACTAGGGTTCCAACAAGCATCGAACAAAATCAGACGGTTTGCTGCGGTCAGATTGATACCCAAACCACCCGCTCGCGTAGAGATGAGGAAGAGCCGTAGACGCGTGTTCGAAACGCGATTGAAACGGTGTTGCAAGTTCTTTCGGACCATGGCATTCATACTTCCATCCATTCGCTCGTAGTCATGCCCCCTAACCCATGTATTCACATTGACGTCGGAGAAATAGCGAGACAGATTCGGTCGTGGCGTAGTTTCTCCATCGGGCCCAACATCAGCCAATTCACCCTAGAAGGAAGAGGTCAAACAACATCAGATTATGAAACACGGACACAACTAGAATTCGAGAGTATAGTGTAAGGAATGACAATAGCTGTAATAAGGTATCTTGATCCGCTGGGCAATTGGCCGGAACTACGATGAAGAGCAGGGATGTATCCCATTCTTCGGTTACTGAACCATCCGACGCTGGTGTACATAGGCATCACTATTGACCCTTTACAGTGAGAATTTTAACACCAAGCAATTTGAAACTAGCTACATGCTCAAAGATTAATTAGTCCATCAGCTACACAATCACTACGGGACCTAGATCGAGATAGGTTAAACCTCAAATGTATCCATATTTGGTTGTTGAGGGGTGCATCCCAAGATTACCAGAAACAGCTACACCAGTTTGGGAAGAGTCCAGAAAGTGTGAGTCTATCAATTTATGCTGATTAACCTCTACGAGTAGATTTTGTTGCCTCAAGGACGGCCGCTTTTGAGGCCAAAAAACAAGTGAAATAGTTAAGGCGAATTACCTGGTGTACAAGCCACTGGCGATGGATCTCTCCAAGAAACCGTTCAAGTAAATCAAGCGAGAGAAGGCTCTGTGTGAAGATGATCACCTTGTCTCCAATGTCGGTACATTTCTTGAGAATGTGAAACAATACCTCCAACTTTCCACCAACTTCCAAACACCAGTCGTACTCATCTTTGTACGGTTTGTACCACCAGGGATCTTTGGAATTCGCGTCATCTCCTAATGCTTGCTGTGTGTCCTCCGAGCTATCCAAGCAGATGACATTGTCCTCAGCCTCAAAGTTGTTTTTATTTGATCGCGTGCGGCGCTTATGGGTGGTGGCTGATATCTCATCCGTCTTTAACTTCCCGGATCGGAAATCTGTTTCACTGCAGGAACTTCCGGAATTGATCGTCTCTTCAGTCGTATCGGAGGCATCGGTGAGGTCGGTGGATTCTTCGTCATTATCTTCTAGTAGGATCTAGAATGAATGAACGAGGATGGCGGAAGTGAGAGGAGGAAAGCGGAAACATAAGCAGATGTCAAAATGCCTTTAATCTGACTGTTAACAGGGGGCCCGAGAAAATTCCAACTGAATATCTGGGTTATGACATTTTTCACCAAACAAAGGCCGTTTCATGCTTCAGATGACATGCAATTCAATATACTGGAATATTTTTCCTAACATAACACTACTCATGAGGTTGCTGAAAACATTTTGACAGCCATCACTCATCATACCACAAGGGACAGATTCGGTAGGAATTTAGCTGTCTCTCCCTAACACTAAGGAAACTTGTATAGGAGTGTCATTTGCCAGTTGTGCACAATTTGGTGTCCAAGTAGAAAATAGGGTTGATGGATATTCAGTGACTGTGCATACCTGATGAGCCCAAAGGGAGGTAATACCGACAGTGGGTTGTTGAAGAGTTTTCATCAAACTTATCAGTAGGCTTATGTTAACACAGTCACTCCATGAAACTCTGAACGGAAAACTCAACTTTCCGATCGCTGCAGAAGACAATCCAAGCGCAAAGTAGCAAGGACTAAGTGTAGTATAGAAAAGTGGGGCAAGCTATACCTACATAACTGGGGAGAAAACAACTGCAAAGCAGTAGATGTATCCTACATGGAACCCAATTAGTTGTTAGTTGCATTTACAATTTAAAACCTCATATCCATAACAGAGAAGCCCCGTTGATTCACCCGAATAAAATAGAGCGAGCCAAGAGTTGTTAGCCAGCAATAAAGCGAAGCGGGTGGGGATTTAAGTTTGTAACTAAGACAAGACATCTTCTACGAAACATGCTCAGTGAGAGCACTTAGTCTCAACGGACAATACTAGAACCTATTCTAACCAAGCATTCCAAAGCATGATTACAGCAACACCGGAGATGTTTATCAGACGCAGTGGCATGCTCACATCGGGTTAAGAAAAATGTAGACTATAATAGAAACACACTTACCCGACGGGCCTCTCGGGTCTCATGGCTTCGGAGCAGGAACGGATGTGTCCACACACGGTACAGCGTTTGCTGATCACGGAACAACGTTTGGCGAGTTTCCTCACCGCGGTAATTAGTGTTTAGGGGAAGACGATCAGCGCGCACTCTGAGGTAGGTTTGATAAAGTTCACGCTGGGCTTCGCTCAAACGGCACATAACCACATATTCATAACGAGGAGGCAAATACTTCGTGAGTGCATTGTAGTCTTTGCGCTGTAAGCAAATATCAGTAATGGAGGAGTGGAGAATGGTGAATGGCTTCGAATAATATGGGAAAAGAATGGATGGATTCTACAAGTAAAGGGAACGAAGAGCAAGAACAGGAACCTATAAAACTACGGCGATCTGTACTTTCGTTGTCATTGTGAATGATGCTATTCGCCTTTAAGGATGGGGTTTACATGGTCCCCATACTCGGTGGCTGGAGACACTGAACGATACACGGGCTAACCGACGTAAGTGGCGTTATTGCTGTCAGTTTTCACTCAGAATGTGACTGGCAGTTTGAGGTGTAGGCATCCCTCTTCCTGTCTCAGTTGTTTCTTCTTTCCATTATAAGGCTTTATTCAAATAAATAGACACAATTTTGAGGTGTTCTTGTCTGGTATCGCTGTTAACGATTATGAGAAAAAACCGAGAATTCGTCAAAAAAACAGAGTCAGTTGCGTGAACGAATCAAATCGCTCAACCAGGACATTCTTTTCAGTAGAAATCCGCAATGTGAACCAAACGCAGGGACTAAGATACTGGGGGGGAGGGGGGAGGGAATCTGAGATTGAATTTTAAGAGTGTATTTGGATCCTAAATTCATCGGTCGGGAGCCCGTTCTTCCCCAGTGGAACAGCTTCCTGGCACTCCAGTAATATTGACCTTACTGGAAAGACAGAAACTCCGTCGAGACGTTTCCCTTTAAGTAGTCGGATCACATGTATGGACAGCTGGTCATCTTCGGATTACGCGATCTGATCTGTCTGACTGAAGGATGAATGGTTCCACATCCTGGGTGAGTACAGCTCAACCATACTGCTAGTCAGCCAATTCTGTCCAGATGGTGCAGTATTCCACTCGGATTACGCGAATCTGTCTGACTGAAGGATGAATGGTTCCACATCCTGGGTGAGTACAGCTCAACCATACTGCTAGTCAGCCAATTCTGTCCAGATGGTGCAGTATTCCACTATAAATCTGAAGGTCCTGGACATGCATTTCCCCAGAGTATCGAAACCGCCGATTTTTAACTGACATTAACTAAGATTTTGAAGAAACGTGGGCAACTATTAGTGCCAAATGCAACAAATGCTTAACAAAACGTGCAAAGTCCAGTTGAAACAGCTTTAAAAGTAACCCACCGCAAAACATTTGCATAAAAAAGGTGACATCTGCACTGACAACTAAGCTGTTCTTACGCTCATATCAGAGATTATGGCAGCCAAGGGATATCAAATACCAGAGACCGACCCGGGAGAAAATGCCAGATTAACATTACGCTTTCGTAAGCTGCGTACTGAGACTAAGATGACTCGGAAACGAATTGGTGCTACACATAGATACTTGACAGGGCATATCCTTCTTCCAAAGCAGGAGAAGTGAAAAGTAACGAGCTGGCTCACGCATGTGGCTGCTCTGTACTTGTGGTAGGCAAACTAACGACGAAAACACTCGGCTACCACATTGTCGGAATGAGGTTTAAGGGTATTGAAAAGGACCGAACAACTCGCAATATCGCCAGTACTTTTGAATAAAGTAGCGGGAGAAATCCTCAGTTAATGTATTAGTGTTTTATTGAAGGCCTAATGCTATGGAGATCCATAGGAGCATAATAATGTGCCCCCCAAACAAGGGCGTTGGGCACAATGAAATCAGGACCTAGTACTCAAACTTGCGGACGAGCTCGTTGAAAACGACGAGGAAAACAGTTGACGAGAAACACCTACGTGAAAACCCAGCTAAATGGGTTGAAAAGTTCCAGCTCTTCTATAGATAGATGATCGATTAAATTGGGCTAACATATACATCAAAATATCTGGACCTTTATGGAGACAATGTGACTAGTTCTGAAAAAAGACTAATGCTGTATTGTGCCTCATACAGTGAGCAAAATGAGTTTGGTTATTGGTCATCGCTGCTGGTGGAAGCACGACGTATTCGTGCATGACGTATACATGAATTGGAGCTGCTCGATGTAGGAGACCAAAATATGAATCCAACCATTGCAAGCATAATAGCACCTCATAAGACCACTCCAAAAAAAGATCCTTTTTCCGAAAAAATTGTGTTGTACACGACATAGTGTGCGAGTTACCCTCCGGAAGTAGATAATCTCCCCTCAGAAGAACCTCGTTTGGAAAGTAAAGGCGGATGAGTTCCTGAGGGATGTATTACATAGGTTAAGCAGAGAATCTTCTTCAGTATTTCAGTGTTTTTGGAAATCAACAACAGTGCACACATCTCGAAAGAAGGCGGACTAGGAGGAGGCAGCCAGCATGCGCACAAGAGTGGACGGTATCTACCTTCTGATGCAGGGATAAAGATATCCGATGCAGTCAGTTGACATGACCCGGAAGCATTGGAGCCTAGTGAAGTGGACCAATAAGAATGCAGTAGCTATTCAGAAACGCGGTGACAAATCAAAAAATGGCTGGCGTACCTGGACACAACCGTCTAGCATTTTGTACAGCACATGAGCACGTCGTTTCATCAGCTTCACATCTCTCTCAGTTGAGTTGGAATGTTGTCCATTGCGTATAGGGTTGCCAAATCGATTATTGAATTCGCGAGCGGTGCCGAGTAGATTAGGCTTGACAAAGTTCACCATGGCATGGTCTTGGAAAGGACGGTGGGAGATGGAGTAATTGGATTCATTGCGAGAAACTTGTGTGAACAAAGAACTGGAACTGTTTCCAGCTTATTGGTAAGGGCCAGGAAACCATAGTCCTACGGATCATCATCACCACTACCATTCACTGCCGTCTTAAGGATAACACCTTGAGAGCTGACCGAAATGTAGTGTACCCGATGAATGACATCACATGCTATGGAAAATTGGGTATGCGTGGGTAATCAGAGCTAAGCAAAATGGAACAAGACTGCAGAAAAGAGCGTTCGCTCGCTATTATGATTCAAATGACAGAAAATTGAAGTTATGAGCCTCTTGAGGTTCCTCGAGTACGGTTAAGTTGTAAGTGGTCGGTGTAGGCTAGGCGGTACCGGGTCACATAAGGGTATTATGTTCATTAGATGTCCGCTGCTGAGGCCCTGCAATATGGTCAGCTGCGAACTCCCCACTTTTGGACAATTCCCTGACACGGTGCAGGAGCAGTTAGGGAGTTACCTTTAAATACTATTCTGAAGTTCAAAAGTAGTGGAACTTAACAGGTTAAAGATTTACCAAGTCCAACAACATTGAGCGGAAACAGAAAGATTCCTTCGACACTGATGAAATCAATTCAATGAGTAATGGTTGGTGCGAAAAAGTAGAAGGGGCAGAGGAGAACAGAACCTCCATCAATTGTGTTTGAAATTGCTGAAATGCGGAAAAGTATCAAAGGTTTTCCATCGGTTTTAGACAAGTCGTCACTCAACCGGTCCTTCCGAAGCGAACAGAAGTAGATGAACCTAAGTAGCACACAACACCCGTGAATAGCAACCTGTTTCACGTTTATAGAATAAATGGTCGTCCATACGGGCAATATCTCCGAGAGGGAGCAATAGGATCCCATGAGGCGAGTTCTTGCCAGCTTCAACTGACAATATGCTCCACTGTGGTCTATGTTGCTTGCTGGTCACAATGTGGCCCTTGATCCGAACAGATGGGGGTGCCAGCATTCACTGACAACTAATTGTGTTTATCGGTAAGATGGATGTAGACTGCTGTATTTTAACGACTGGCAGCCGGACGCCAGTAACCTGTAATGGAGTAGAAACCAACTCCGGGTGTTCCTCGCGGTATCTCACTACGATTCCCACCTACAGTTACAGGAAAAATGAAATAAGAGAAGCATGTGTCTGCCATATACCATTTAGGTAAACCAAGGATGATGGAGACGGTGATTTCAGAGAGGTAAAATCATCTCAGATCCATCAGACGATCTGAGGAAACAGGACTATGTGAAATAAACACCAACGCTATGAGTGCAGTACCCCAAAAATGCTGCCTAACAGGGTTGGAGACCAAAACTGGTCTCTGGTGGCAATGAGAAGGAATTATTACCCACGCGCGTTTATATGGGCGATTATTCTAGCTAGAGTGCAAGAAGGTCAAGTGAAACCTACATTCATTGAGATTGTTTTGCAGCGGAGTACCAGTCAGGACAACTCGCTTCAAGGTTCGAATCTGTGATACAGCCTTGGAAAGCCCGGACTTGTCGTTTTTCAGCATATGGCCTTCATCACAAATCACAATATCGGGCCCAGGATCAACGAGAGCTTGTTTGACTGCTTCCCGATTGGCCTTACTCCGCGTTGCCCTCCTCCCATTGACGAAATTCCGGAACATATCGTACCCCATAAGTAGCACTCCACCCTGAAACGAAGGGTTTAAAAGTTGGTACGCTGAGAACTATGGTGAGCAGAACACATGCGCGAGTCGCCGCAAAAAAAAACAGACAGCAAACTCCAAAAAAGGGAAAACAAGAGCCAAAGCCAACGAGATTACGTTTACAATTCACATGAGACTGGTTTCCAAAGCCCGATTTTGGAGTAGTTGAGATGGGATCAGTTAATCAGTTTAGAAAGCCTGTGGAAACGAGTAAACCATTTAAAGTATGTTCTGGTCTAGTGCAGGACAAGTGACGTTGTCAGTGGGCAACCCAAATATGAAGACAGGGATCTTGCTTTGGATCCACCCTTTGAAGCTGATCAAAGTCAATCCTTCTAGGTGAGGTCCCTAGTAAAGGGGACTGACAAGACCTTTATTTCCATCTAATAATATCTAAATAGCCTTCAAATCTCGGTTAGGTTCTGAAGAAATCTCTTGCTATTCACATTATTGCCCGTTGGCTCCAACCACTTCGAAACATAACTCCCACGAGGTGAGTAAAAGCCACTAGATGCCAATAGGGGCTAAATATTTACGTAACATTCAAAATCTCATTTAGAGACAGATGTTATGTGACCTATCGCATGGCCTCAGAGTTAATTTGCTGTTCTTTGGTGTATCAGGTCTTATCTTCCATTCATTTGCCTGATTGATCGTACTCGGATTTGTCCAACACGCAGAGGGCATCACTTACAACATCTCGGTCACTCATTACGCCTCCTTACGTCACAAACGAACGTAAGCGTCAGATAGGTGACTCTCGTGAATGTGAAGTGAGTGATTTAAGCTAGGGGGAGCGAGCACGAATCATCAGCCTTAGTATTCTTTTTCAAGTTTGGATCACAAAAATAATCCTATATTAGCCACAAAGAACCTACTGGATAACCGTTCTGAAACGGGGATATTAGCTCATGCCTCATAGCAAGAGTTGCTTGCAATACGCCTATGTATATCACCGTATACTCACGTAGTATCGTCTACTCGGGTTTGTCGAGGCGATTCGATGGTGCGCCTATCGTTATGTGGAACGTTGAATAGGATGACGCCATCAAACTATTGATACCATCGTTTTAGTAGCTACTCCGTCGTTAATACTCTCCACACAATGAACGCTGGTGTTGGGATAGGCAGCGCATTTAAATGCTTTAAAATGGTTAGCGGAGGTCCCCTTCAGTCACAGTGAAGAACCGAACCGTGTTCTGTGTGGAATGACCACTAGCAAACTAAACGGATAAAATTTGATTTAATCATAGTTAGCATTTCTTCAAAAGCTGTTTGAATGGAGCGCGGTTTTATATGTCCTTCCTAGCAATTTATCACCACACAAAAGAGCCAAATTCCACTTCTCGAGTTGAGTAGCCAAATATCACTGGGGCCAGGACTGTGTTACCAGACTCATTCTTAGTCTGTGATGAAAAATTGACTCGCACACGATTTATGCATGCGCAATCAGGAAACAAAGATCCTGTGGCTTGGTTGACTCCAACAAGAATTGAAGCTTTTCACTGAATACTCCTACAAATTTAAACTCCTTGAAGAGAGGATCATACGTAACCTACTTTTTACTTTATGGCGACGCTGTCTTGGAAAACGACGAGCCTGTTGGAAGAATACCCCGATTCTCTGCCGCTCATGAAGCGGGAGTACTCATACCGTTTCTGCTAGGATGCTTGATTACATGAGGAACCAGTAGTTCCACAATATCCCAGCCGCTAAACCAGATTCGCAACTACCCTCCAGTACACCAGCGCCATTCTGGGCAGGGTAGTAACGACAGGTAGAGGTTAGAATCTGGCTTGTGGGGGACGTGTCCAAATTACTGTGGTCGGGTCAGCGGAACAAAGGTGGAAAGGGATGAAATTTAATCCCATCGTTCTCCGACACCGTCACTATATATGTTGATGATATGTTGTAGCTATGTATGATATGATGTAGATATGTTGTTGATTCAACGTACTTTCATTACCGTCATAGGTGCCAGTGGTTAAATACTTCAAGTCTACGAAGATCACTGCCTCGGAGAGGCCAGGTAGCAAAGATGTACATTAACACGGTCGGGACCATTGCACGATCGACTCAGAGCTTCGATCGAAGCTTCTAAATATTATACGAAACCGTGATCTGTGAAGATTTTTCCTGGCGTTGCCGGTGCGTGTCGCGCTGGACAATGTGGGAGGATACTAGAAATCAACCTTTTTGGTTGAACGTGTCTCATAACCATCATCATCATCATCGTCGTCGTCGACAGCATGACATCAGTGTTCGACACCGGTGCTTCACTGCCGTACAAACATGACTTATTTGAAAGCCTTATTGTGAAGAAAAGAATAAAGGTGGATGGGGGAGGGACTTAGTGCTAGCTTAACACAATCATTCCGAGGTGCCTACACCTCCAGACATTCACTCAGGCAATCTGGATAGAAACTGACAACAAGAACGCCACTGACATCGGTTGGCAGCCATATCTTGTAGTGTCTCCAACCAGGCACAGTGAGGATCACGCGGTCCCCATCCTGGAAGGCGAG